TCTTGACGGAGAAAACTTGCCTTAAAGATTAAATGGATTAAAATAAACAATATATTTTACAGCATTTATTAATTTGGTAACATTTACAATAAGGTTCATTAACTACTTCAGTTAACATGAACTAAGAGTGAACAATACTTATATAGCATGTTTCAACATTTACTAATGGATTATTAAAATCAAAAGTTGTGTTGTAAACATCAGTAAATGCACATGAACTAACATGAGCACACAATGAACAGCTGGATTATTATTAACTAATTTTAAGAAAGATTAATAAATAGGCCTACTATAACACATGCATTGCTCATTGTTAGTTCATGTTAGTCATTACATTAATGTTAACTAACTGTTGTTAAGCTTGTTGTAAAGTGTTACTCTACTGATGAAACACTGAGAGAGGCACCCAGAGTAACAGCGCACTCTAGTGTTCACTAGCGGAACTGCACTCTAACAGCGCACTCTTGGTCATAGTGCACTCTAACAGCGCACTCTAGTGTTCACTAGCGGAACTGCACTCTAACAGCGCACTCTAGTGTTCACAAGCGGAACTGCACTGAAACCCAGAATGCAACACTCGTGACACATTACACCAAATCTCTTCAGGACACTCATGCAAAGTGACTAATATCATCTGAACAAAGGCTGGCAGTGACACACACACACACACACACAGAGATGGTGCAGGTGTGTGTGTGTGAGAAGTAGCTGACGCTGCGTTTACTGTGCATGTCATGCAGTCAAACCACAGATCACTCACTCACAAATATTCAATGACATGTCTTAGTCAGATGATATTTAATGCTTAGTTTTATGATCAAATCTCTGTAGTTTTAAAACATAATGCTCTGCAATATAAAGATGAACAAATAAACCTGATGATCATATTTGGTACTCAGGATTTTTATAATAAATGATGATGGATAATCAAGTAAACCTCAGTTCAGCAGAAATATTACTAGCAACAACAAAACTAAACTTACATTTATTAACATTTGAACATCTAATTTCTTTAACAAATAATTTGTCTTGACCAACTTAGGTTTAATAGTGTAATAAATATGTTGGTGTAATTTAAATCAAAAACTATACAGTATAACACAGCAAAGGAATTATGACATAGTTATATTGCAGAATGTTGATTGTAGATTCATAAATCTTTTTGAAGAGAGGGTTAGTGAACACAAGCGTGCGGTTTGTTGCATTAGTCCCCGTGGATCATTGCTGTGAGTTTATTCCTGAAACAAAGGCCCGAATGCATCATGTCAGTCTCGTTTCCCCAGCAAACCTCAATATTTATGGTGTGGTTGTGCAAGTCTCCGGCCAACGCCGATGTCTTCAGAGTCTGACACAGTTATTGTGCAACGGTTGAGCAAGAGTGCCGAAAGTGTTCAGACGGGACGATCTGAGGAGATGATGTCGTGTGTTTCTTCATCTCTACTGTTTTATAGACAAAGTCAACAGACTGTTATTGTACACACTTGGGTTACGGCTTTTTTCTCTAGACTTTTTAAAGCCGTGCAGTAAAAAAAATAAATATATATATACATATCTTTTTTTGTTTTGTTTTAAGTTTGCTTTTAGCTTACTTGCCAGAATTTAATTTGGTCAATTCAAGTACATTGGAAAAATCCATTGAATACATTAAGTTAAGTTTATTTTACTAATATTCCAGTAAACCTCACTCCCCTGATCTAAAGAGATGCTCTAGTCTAGCACACCGTCAGTGCTTCACATACTCGTGTTTTTAAGTTCAAACGGCTTTAAACGACTCCAGACGATGAATAAGGGTCTTATCAAGCGAAACGAGTGGCCATTTAAAAACTAAATAATAAAGTTTAAGTTTTATAAACTCAAATGCTCGCCTTGCTCTGTTCTGTGATGCGCGTTCGTGACTCTCCTGTTCGAACTCGTTCATCATCAAACATCAAAGTCATGACTCGAAGGGTCCTTGATAAGACCCTTATTCATCGTCTTGTCTTAGTGAAAATCGTAAACTATCGTATACGTCAGATCAGACTCTCCCTGCTGTGTCCATTTCTGTAACCCCAAAAACTGTATTCCTATGTTTTCCACATGTATCGTGTGAGTTACTGGAGGAGTTTTTAACGCAGCAGTGACTTCCAGGCATGGTAAAACAGTGCGGTATTGCGAGAACCTCCTCTACTACCGAGCTAAAAACACACGTAATCAATACTGTTTTTCCGTGGGAATCCTACCAACATGGCGGAAAGGGGAGGGGCTCTGTAAAATGACGTCCGAAATTGAGTCTGATCTGACGAGGAGACGCCGGATTGATTGGTTTGCTGATGCCTTTAGTATACGATTTTCACTGTTTGCTGTGCCTTAACGAACATATGCAAAAGTGTTGTTCGAGTGCCTTGTTCTTTATTTTTTATTTCATTGAAATAAATGTTTGAAACAACTTGATATGGCTTAACAATATTTATTGAGAACTAAAATGTATAGGCTATTTGGACAACATAAGTTTCATGGACAACATAATTAATAATAATAAAATAATAATACTGTTATTAGTGCAAAAGAACAAATATATTGATGTTGCTTCTCCAAATACAGCTGTTTTGCACTTTGTGTGAGTTTGTTCCTGTAAGGTCTTTTAGCATTGCTGTACTTTCTTCCTTTTTTTTCTCATATTCTTAGATCCGTCTCTGTCCTGCCAAAATAATAAATGCGCGAAAATGTCTATGGGTTCTAAAGGCGTTGCCGCTGGTAACCGATAGCGTCTCCTACCATCATGGCCGACCGGCTCAGACCCCGCCCAAATCGGCACGTGACTCCTCATTCTCATTTGTTAGCTTCTATTGTTCTTTGGATAAAAGCGTCTGCTAAACGAATAAATGTAAATGTACATTTTTGCACTGATTCTATTATGTTCCAATTAAGGTATTAATATGTGTCTGTTTACCTTAATTTATTATTTTTGTTTAATTCAAAGTTTATAAGACTGTGTGTAAATCTATGCAAGTATACGTAGACTTTTCTGTCAGTATAAGTTTACTCAAGTGTAATTTTTCCGAGAAGTACATAAAGCGTAGACTGATCTCTTATCTTTAAAGAAGTATACCGAAAGCATACATGAATAAACTTCTTTTCTGTAAGAGATTACAAACTGTTTGAAGTTCAATGTGAAAAGTTGCAACGGTTGGTATATCTAAAGTATTAGTACTTTATGTAAAGACTAATTTCAATAATGAACACAGATGTTTCTTATACATCCATGCATCTTTGCTGTGGAAACGCTCTCAGTTACACCCTTATTTGTTTACGTTCACGGGCCTTAAAAGAGGCCTTCGGAGATCCTTTTTCCTGTGCTAAACGAGATAATAACCCCATGTCGGGAAGCTCGGGGTCTCCTGTAAACTCTGAAATCATATGTTGCAGATCTAACGCAAAGTCTGATGGCTTTTATTATGACTATGAGTTTTTTACCCATCCGACACATCCATCCTTTTCCCCATTGTTTGAGAGAACTGATCTGAGGCTTTATGCAATCATGCATGTGTTATGATGTTCGAATGAAGATGGATTATTCTACTCTGATGGGGAAATATATCAAAACATTAATAAATCAATGCAAATCCTTGGGGACAAATTGCTGTCATGCTGGTGAGTGTAAATTAAACAGCGTTTGGGTGTGGAAGTGAAGAACTGTGAAGTGAGCTCTCGGTGGAAAACAGTGTTATTGTGACTTTTATGTTGTTTGTGTATATAAAAGCCTTTTAGGAAGTGTCGTCTAATAATGTAAAGTATTTATTAGAAATAGGCCTCTTTCAAATTGGCAAATAGCCTAAATTATTAAATTTATTTTGCATTGCATTGCATTCAAAATTTAATTATAATTCAGCATCATAATTTCAACTCTCATTCTCAAACATTGCATTGCAATCGTTTTAATCGGAAGACGAAAGAAAGTTTAGTAAAGCAAGTTAAAATCGGTATGTTACAATTGTATTAACCGAACACACATAAACTTCTCCACCCAAAAGAAGTGGAAAGCTCAGGAGTTTGTTCAAGCCCAATGTTTACGAGTTGAGGCGTGTCGTCGAGAAACACGGCAGAAGGCCACAAACACTGAGGGATTTAGTAGTGGCATTAACAGGCTTTTCTAGTTACAACTAAATAAGCCAACTGTCTGCACTATTGTAATGTGACAATATAATATGTAACGGTAAAGTTCACACTGCCTTTGTATGAAATAAAAACATATAAAGCAGCACAAATTCTTTGTTCTTCAGTTTCTAGAAGCAGAGTTTAAAAACCTTGCTGTTTAAAAACCTGTATTTTTGTATAGTTCATTTAGAGACGGTACAGCGCCATCTAGCACCAACGAAAGTGACGACACCCAAACTCGACTTTCCAATGCGAACGGACTTGAACGCACATATTATCCATAATTCCCCAAGGATGCCCAGACAGCACCATAGTGTCGGCCCAGATCCGGAACATGTGGATTCTATGCGTAGCGGATGTGAGCCGGATCTGGGCCGACACTATGCTGTGTGCTATCGGAATTATAAAGTTGACTAAAGTTGTGTCATAAACTTTAAACATTGCAGAGGGGAGAACAATTGCTGCTTTATTAGTTTTTCCACAAAAGTAGTGCATATTTACATATAAAAATCATTTGAAGTGTTGTGTATATTTTATCCACACCAAAAATTGCCGGTATTTGACCGAAGTTCCAGAATTGTCAGCAAGCTGACTACACTCCAAAAAAAAAAAAAAAAGGTTCTTCAGCGGTTCTATATAGCATCACTACCATTTAAAGAACCTGTTAAGCCCAGTTTGGTTCTTCAGCGGTTCTCTGAGGTGCTCCATATGACACCTCTTATGGTTCTACATTTTACAAAGATAAGTTAAAGTGGTTCCCTACAAGCCAATGAAGACATTTGCCTCAGACAGTTTTCCAGGAGGAGGGCAGAGCCGCAGCGCGGGAGAAAGAGGGCGGGAACGCTGATGCAGTTGAGAAACTTTACTGACTCACGAGATTTTTGGCTTGAACAGTGAAAACATCCTGGTTAATCTGCTGATATAAACCAATGGCAGAGATGTATGAGAGAATATAAAAAAAAATTCTGATAAAATGCATGTTTTCACCTGTCGTTGACACTGACAGCCAAACGTCATCATCGGTAGTTCAGTCAGTCAGTCAGTCAGGTTCACATGGGGATTGCGGTTAGGGCGTCAGTCTGTGTCTCATATCATCGCAGGGATGAACAGCGTCTTCTCCTGTTCCTCATCGGGCTCGAAAACCCTCGCAAAGAGAAAACTTCAACAGACTCGAAGTCTGGATTCTGCGTTGAGGAGAAACGGCGCGACGCCTGCAGTCGTGAATAGCGTTCAGCGGTTCTCGAGCTCCACAGCTGGATTTACCCACAACCAAACCATCTCTGAAGACCCCAGACTCAAACAGCGTCTTTCTTCGTCGAGTTTGTCGACGTCTCCAGACGCTTCGTCGATCTCCAGCGTTCATTTCAAACGCAACGCGTCCAGGGATTTATCGCTCAACCTCTCCGGTTCAAGCAACATCTTCTCACCGATAAAGTGGCTTCAAAGAAAGTTGCCTCAGGCGGATGCGGTTTCCCACAATATCTGTAAATCTGAGGTAAGATTTCGAAAAAAACATGCTTTGAGTTCAACAATCCAGATGTCGTTGTTGAGATGGATGGAGTCTGCGTCTCGAGTACGTCGAATGACAGATTAATACTTTTCAAATATCAAATGATAAATTACTTGCCTCACTGTTTCTATTATGTTTTTTTTTTTTTTTTTACAACTTTACACCTTTTCTAGTTCAATTTTAAAGGTCACGTGGTGCACATTTTTGCAGATAGATATTTCATGTCTATTATTTAACATGAGTTTATAGTAGCCTACTTTTAAGAGAATTCGAAATGTGAATTTTAATAAACAAAAAAAAATATTTTATCTTATAATTAATTAACTGTGAGTCTTTGCAGCAGAAGATAAACAGAAAGACAGACATCATGCCTGATCAGATGTGTAGGTTTAGAAGCATTAATCCATGTTTCAGTATTGAGATTGACACTTGTTCTTTTTGTATATCCATAACTTTTGATTCAGATTACTCTGATATTTAGCCCTTAAGCAAGTGTTTTGTTTCAAGGCACTAGAAACTATTTATCTTGCATTAATTAATGTTACTTGCCATGGCAACTTTTAAGAGTTTGCTTGAGGAGCACAAAAAACATAGTTAAAACTGCACCAATAGAGAACAGCAAGATTTTAAAATATAGTTTATTTGTAGTGACTTTGTAGACACATCTTGAATGTAGTTTTCAGGCTCTTCTAGAGCAGGTTTTCCTGCTTGATTGTTGATTATTTTCCTCATATTTTCCATTTACAATAAAGGGTTTACTACTACTATTGTTGCGGCTCCTCTCTTCCCAGTCTGTCAGTAAAGGCCAATTTATACTTCTGCGTCGAGGGTACGCCGTAGTGTACGGCGTTGGCTTCGCACGTAGGCGACGCCGTTGTGAGCATTTATACTTCTGCGTTCAGGTATTGGTTGCTCTGCAGTACTGCTCCGAAACGCTAGGAGGCGGCGGAGGGTTTTAATGTTCCACTGTGTTTAGATTCCTCGCGGCTAGGTTACTACAAGCGACTGAAAGAGAGTGGATCATGTTGGAGTTGGAGCTTATTGGGGTGAAAAAACAGTTCATTTTTAGTGAAATTACTAAAACTGAAAGGCAGAAATGACAGAAGACGTCGGAGGAGATGGTACGTGTGGAAATGCGTGAGAAGGTACGTGCGGAAATGCGTATGAGGAAATACGACGCTACCAAGCCGACCAATCACCGATCTTGCGGTCCGCGTCGTGGCGACGTGTAGTTACATTTTTGAAGAGGTGCGCGTCAGGCAACGCGGAAGGGTACGCGGTATGGGACGCGTCTGTGCGTATGCTACGCCGTACCTACTGCGCGCACCCTACGCAGAAGTATAAATTGGCCTTAACGCTCTGTTTACTTCCTGTCTCTATGAAGCCCCTCCTCCTGAAAATCATACTGAGCTCTGATTGGTCGGCTGGAGCAGTGTGTTGTGATTGGTCGAGCGCTTTGAGTGTGTTTAGGAAATCTCCCGCCCCTTTCCATAACCGCCAGTTTAACACATTACTAACTAACTCAACCAGGCCCCGCCCCTTTATTCTGCACATGAATTATTATAATGAGGAATATTGTGATGTGTTTGTTCCCAGAAGAACAATTAATTTAATTTTACATACATATAGAATTTAGTAACATCTACTTTCTAAACTAAGTTTAGAAAATGTAACAAAATTAACTTTTTACTCGAACACTTTTTACTCAAAAGTGTATGGTTATTATATTGTAAATAATATTGTACAACTTTCATACTGTATCTGCATAATAGAAGTAACATGGCATGTGAACACAGATATCGCGATACTTTGTTCACAATACACAATGTCGGCTAAATTTGATCATTTTTGAGTAGGCTATGAATGGGTCATTTTGAGTAAAATAAATGAAATGATAAGTAAATATAAAATAGTGAAAAATTAACCTTATTAATTATTAATGCCCCAGTGCATGACGGGAACACCAAGGTTTTGAAAAATTGTGTAGGTTTTACTTAGTTTAATATAGTTGAGATTTGTTTAAATACTTGTCCTAACCCTTTTCATCTAGACATAATAACAATTGTTTTTCTGTAGCATTAACTCATTTTTAAAATCATTTTTATAATCCTAATAATTTTTCATGATCAAACAGCAACACAGCACACCAAAGAAAAATTAAAATGTAAAAAAAAAGCATAATAGGAGGTCTTTAAGACTACACAGGAAAAATAGCAGAGTAGTTTTTCCAGAGTAATTATTTTTTTCCTCAAAAAGAGTTGTTTTTTATCTATTTTGAGTGAACAGAGTAAAATGTGTCCATAGAGTGGGAGCAAAATTATAGAGTAACTGTGACTCCTCCCCAAAATCTTCTGCTCCCTAAGTTTCGTTTGTCAGCCATTACTGTTCTACACGGCCATCGCGATCTGCATTTGGATTTGGAAGAGATCGTTGTGCTACTGCTGGATTTAAAAGTAAGTAGAATTCCAAAGTTTTAGTACCCATTTTCATAAAAATCGCCTCTGTTTTGAGCTCAGATCAATTCCGCGGTTTTTGAACATTACAGAGATGGCTTTCTCATGTTAACTTGATGTGAAGTTTAACGTGACCGTTAAGTTAGTGCTCGACAAGAAAATCACTAACGTTAACGTTAATCACTTGTTTGTTAAATGCAGTTGTACAGCCAAAATGCTAAGCCTATGTTAGTTAACTGGGAAGGCGAACACATAAGGATCACATTTTAAACTGGGCTCAAGATTAAACTAATGGGATAAATTAACTTATTTTTGTAATCACCCCAAACGCAAAGAACGTTAGATGACATAAGTTATAGCTTAAGTAAACGTTAACACTAGTGAAACTAGCTAGCTGCATAATTATGTGTGTCCACTGTCCAGTAAGCGGCTCGAGTTGTGCGCCACATGTACATGACTCTATTAAGAGTTAAGTTAACGTTAGCCTTAATTGGAATGATGGAGGCTATTTATAAGTTATAGCTTACATAAACTTTAATTGACACTATTGAAACTAGCTAGCTGCATATTGATGTGTCCAGTAAGTTATACGTACATTAACGTAACATTACTGTGACGATGAGCGGCTCGAGTTGTGCGCCACATGTACTTGACTCTGTAAAGAGTTAAGTTAACGTTAGCCTTAATGATGGAGGCCATTTTGATGTGGTCATTTTGAGTGTTAACAATGCGTTAAATATTTGTTCATGATGAATAACTTACACATGAACAAATGATTAATGCATTATTAACGCTCTAGTAGAAAATATTAACTAACGAATTCTGATTAATAAATAGTGAGTAATAGCGCTCAGAATGTGTTAGTTCACTATTAGCTAATCAGTAACTTTTTCATACCTCCCATAGGATTACTAATAAATAATAACTACTACTGCTTGTAGGTTCATAATTAACGTGAATAATGCATAATGTATAAAATATTGTAATGTAACCCACTGATTATGACTCAAGTATTACCAAATAGTTCATAGGGAACTACTTATTATTTGGAACAGTATTCTAAAGTTAAAAGCATGATAACTTCCTTGTAATAAATGACTATTGTAAGCTTTTGATATAATCAGGGCTTCATCTGACTGTGAGTGTTAACGCCTTAACTGTCTTTTTGGTCCCTCCAGAATACAAACCAACAACGTTGTGAGACTGAGAGTGAAGTTCAAAGACACCAAGAAATATATTTTTTCTCCAACACCTTTTACATTTCAAGAATATGCAAAGGGAATCATCTCCCTATTCCCATACTTGGCAGAATGGGTCACCCAGGAGCAAGCTTGGTTATGTACGTAGCTGTTGCCTCTCAATATTTTTGATTTACAGGAGGATGATATACTCTGTATACTGCAGAGTAAAGATTATCTACATTATTATTCATATGGTATTTATTTCTTTAATTGTGTAATGTATAACTACTAGGTCTGTGTATTGTTCTGGTCATAGGAGCATTATTACAATCCAGAAGATGGAAGTGGATATCTGGCATGGAGAATAAAAACCCTGCAGAAAGAAGAATCAGAGGGACGGATGAAAAGGCAACCACAAACAGGTGTGAGATTTGATTTTTAGTCTGCTTTTATTAGCTTGAACGGAATGATTAATAAACTTTTGTAACTTTTTTATTGACCATACAACTTGGTTATTTTACGCATCTGTCTTTGAAGTATTATTTTGTTCCAGATTGGTCAGTCATTAAGTCATAATGTAAATAAGGTCGAGAGTAACATAGTATCTTTTCAAAATATAATTGCTGTTCTCAGGGATGGGCAACAATTAATCGCGAATTCGCGATTAATCGCATCCAAAATAAAAGATTGTGTTTACATAATATATGTGTGTGTAGTGTGTATAATTAATTTATAAATATAAATACCCACACATGTATGTGTATATTTAAGAAGAATGTGTTATTAATATATCAAATATTTATATATAATATTAATTATGTGTAAATATATATAAAGTATATACATGCAAATATTTCTTAAATATATACATGCATGTGTGTATATTTATATATACAAATTAATTATACACACTACACACACATATATTATATAATTTTATTTTGGATGCGATTAATCATTGCCCATCCCTACATGTTGGGCAAATTTAAAAGTCTGGGAAACTCTCACTCTGGGATTATCCCACTCTGGGATACTGTATGGTTTCTATGTTTTTTTTCCTGTCATCTAGTTCTGGTATAAATGTGTTGTGCTTTTGAAAGAAAAGGAACAAAATATTTTGTTTTCATATTGTCTTAAATACTTTCAGGTGGGCCAACTACTGACAGGGATCCCTTCAAAGCCGCGAGGCCTCAAACAGACTAGTGAGCTCCAAGACGTTATCCAAAATGCTGAAGGTAACTATTGTGCTATAACTTAAATTATTTCATTGGAAGTTATGCATTTATGACAGCATAGCTTTATTCAGATCTAGAGTTTACTCTATACTTTACCCATTAGACATGCTTGATTC